CAATTCCCAATGAGGAGCATCCACTGGACACCGGGGAGCGCACGCCCGCCCGCAGCGACCATTCAAAGATATGACAGCATGAAAGCATGCAGTGATCCGATTCACCAAGAATTGCGGCTTCTGCGCAACTGCATCCTCTTCACCATCAACCTCATCCTCAACAATTTCTGATTCGGAATCTGAACTGGAACAACTGGAAGAATTTGAAGTATCAGCAGTATCCGTGCCTGCATCAACCTGCTCGCCTACTGGATCTACACCAGGTGGCACCAGCAAAGGCGCAGAATTAGAAACATCAATCCCTACTTCTTGAAGAGGCGATTTGGCTCCACGAGCTTGAGGCGTCAAAGGAAACCATCCCCTACGAATAGCACGCAAAACTTGTAGCTGTGCACGCAAGGCAGGCAAAACATCATCTCTGGAATATCTTGCAACCATAACTTCCCCCGGCTCGCGGCAGCGGTGATGCCCCCAAAAACGACGACCGACAGAATCAACATCCAGTTGTAATGCCCAAGACAAGCCTGTAGCTTTCAAAGAGTGTAAGGAATAGTTCCACGCGCTATCTACTGGGACCTGCGCTTTCTGAACCAGAAGGCGTCGCAAGCTGCTTACTTAGGTGTGTCTTGGAAGTTGTGGCAGATATAACGTGAGTTATAACATATATTATAAGCTCTATAACATAGGTTATAACGTATGTTATGGCAGTTATAAGTTGAACTTAGTAACTTGATGTTACTAACTTAGTTATACTTCTTTCTTGTAACTTCTTTTTTTAAAAAAAAACTAGAAACCATAACTTCTGTTTGGCTGTTTTTTGTCCCACTTGTTGCTACCTGTCAATTTCTTGTAAGATTGGAGCGGGACTTCCGCTAAAAAGTGGTTGAGGACTGTTGCGTTTTTCTTGGGAGCGGGCCAACCGCTGCATTTGAATTGGAGCGGGTCCTCCGCTAAACTTCGTTTGCTTTTTCACATGTCAGGTGATGTTAACAGCAGAAGCGTTTGCATGTTATCTGTTTTTCATGTCAAACCTACATGTAACAGGGGATCACCGTATACCAGCGTATACTTTCCGTATACCGGAAAGACAGGAACACCGTATACCAGCGTATACCGCGCGTATACCGAACCAGAGAGAGCCCGTATACCAAGCTGTATGTAAAGAAGTCAACACGTATACCAAAAAGGACAGCCCCGTATACCAACCGTATACCAAAAGGAAAATTTCCCGTATACCAAGCGTATACCGAGCACAGGTGATCGCCAGGAGAGGCCGTATACCAATCGTATACCAACTTGTGGTCTATCATCATCTTTGTCATTCTGTACTTTTGCAGGATTTGGCAACAGCTCAAAACAAAGTGATTTAGAAGCCATGGTTTACAAAGCCAATTGTTATGAGGCTCCAAATGATTTGCCTTTGAGCTTCGAACATGTTCTTTTGGAGCGGATGATCCGCTTTTAATCAAGTTTGCAAACACTTTATTTGAAGAGTGAAAATTACAAAAACGTAACTTCAAAATAAGTTCATAAAGTATACCTTTCATAACTTGCATAACTTATTTATAACCTATGTTATAACTGCCACAACTTCGAAGACACACCTAAGTAGAACGAAGCTAAAAGACGCACACGTACCCTGCGGCGTTTGGAAAAAGAAGTCGCTCCCAGCAAGATGTGCCTTTACATGATCCACTGCCACGCTCCAATCGCTATGCACTCCACCAGTCAGTACGCCAAAAGGCATGCCATCAACTGACGATTTTGTGCGCCAGCACTCGCCCCTAACTAGACCAGGAAGAATCTCAAGACCTTCAACTTTGACTCGCTGTATGTCAGAAAATCGCAGTGCGCCCCAAATCATCAGCAGAAAACCAACCAATAGAAAAGTATCAGAATTGAAATTGCCAGAAATGAAGTCTGCAAGGACGGCTTCCTCAAAGGCAGACACAGCACATAATGGCAAGGGCAATGCTTCCTTGCGCAGGCGGCGATGAACACCAGCTTTGCACCAGGCTACAGCAACAGAACTATTCAACATCGTTCCCCACTCATCGAAGCCTAAAAGCCTTGCAACAAAACGCAGTGCGGCCATGCAAGATGCAGCTCCTTGCTTAGCTTCTGCCAGAGATTCCAGGAAACGCACTTGATGAACAAACTCAGGATTGACCAACGAATAGCGATAGCACCGCGCAAAATCGCACCAACGACGCCAACCAGGCAAATGCCTTCGCAAAGTCCCTGCTGCCTTTCCTTTGAGGACCTGCTCCAAAGATTTCGCTGCTGAAGCGCCTAATTAGTGCAGCAAAGGATGGAGCAGATGAAAGGCAGGGAGCCAATTCAGTAAGCCATCTATCAGCCCACTTGCGCCAACCTTGCTCTTCTGCTTCCTTAGCTGACCCTTGAGGCGGTGCCAATGGCACAGCGCAAGCATGCATCCATGAAGGTCGCGAAACAATACCAAGTCCAAGCAAACCATCGCCTGCACTACATTGCTGCACTGATGGTTCCTGATTTACCACCCGGACGAGCATACACATGCCTCTGTGGGCGAGGGAGCCCCGGCTGCAATCCCTCAAGCGAATAAGGAGCAGCACGCCCTGGTCGTGACGGCCGAGCCAGGGGCATAGCAACAGGAAGAAAATAAAAGAACACAAGCAAAACCAAGATCGCTTTTCAGCAGCTGCCCTTCCACATAAACCAAGCTGCCACAGCAGCAACTCTGCAGCTGCACTTGAACGAGCAAAACTAACATCAGCAACATGCTCAATCAAACAAACCAAAACCATCATGCCACACACTCAAAGCAAACATACATGGCAAGGGGAACAATATTTAGTTGGGTTAGTCAGGCGCACTGGCCGTATCCCAGCCCACCCCAGTGCCCCTGGGCCAACCCACTATTAATAGGTTCCCAAACTGCTGCAAATTGGGTGTGGCATTGTGTCCACATCATGTTGCTGGTGAAAGGAATTTTAGGGCCGATGAGCTCAGTCGTAACCAGCTTGAGGGTTTTTGCCCCGCGTTGCGTTGGCAAACTGATGTGTGTGCAGTCTTGCAGACGCCTTGGTCGTGACAGGAAAAAAAGAAGGTGCTCCTTCTTGCGTGTGGGCAGCCGTGTGTTTAACGGGCACTCTTCGAATGGGTGAATGTGATCTTGTGCCCTGCTAAAAAATTGCCACCTGTTAGTAGGGGATTGGGCTGGCTGCAGTCTGCTCACTGTCCAGTGGGCTGGCTGCAGCCATGCCTGCGTGGCAAAGTTTTATGCAGGGAAAAGTGTGTTGCTGCAACACTGTTGCTTGTGAATTTAGTTTGGGAACCTATTAATAGTGGGTTGGCCCAGGGGCACTGGGGTGGGCTGGGATACGGCCAGTGCGCCTGACTAACCCAACTAAATATTGTTCCCCTTGCCATGTATGTTTGCTTTGAGTGTGTGGCATGATGGTTTGTTTGATTGAGCATGTTGCTGATGTTAGTTTTGCTTGTTCAAGTGCAGCTGCAGAGTTGCTGCTGTGGCAGCTTGGTTTATGTGGAAGGGCAGCTGCTGAAAAGCGCCCGCCCGCCCGCCCCAGTTGAAGGCATGTGTGGCTTGTGCTAGGGCCCAAGTGCCCAGTTCTGGGATTGGGCTGGCTGCAGTCTGCTCACTGTCCAGTGGGCTGGCTGCAGCCATGCCTGCGTGGCAAAGTTTTATGCAGGGAAAAGTATGTTGCTGCAACACTGTTGCTTGTGAATTTAGTTTGGGAACCTATTAATAGTGGGTTGTTCCCTAGAAGTTGATCACCTGTAACTGATGTAGGTGATGTTGTCTACGTTGTAGATGATGAGGATGATGTTGTAAGTGATGTAAGGTTAGATAGGCTTGAAGATGTAGGTGATGTAGAGGATGCAGTGATATAGGTGATGATGTAGGTCATGTATGTGTTGTAGATGATGTATGTCATGTAGATGAGGTTGATGGAAAAAGATTGTGTAGGTGATGTAGATGGTGTAGGTGAGATTGATGATGATGATGATGATGATGATGATGGTGATGGTGATGGTGATGGTGATGGTGGTGGTGGTGGCGATGATGATGATAATGATGATGATGATGATGTAGTAGGGAAGATGGTGCAGAAGATGTAGGTGATGTGGGTGATGTAGATGATGTAGTGATGTAGGTGATGATGATGTAGGTAATGTATGTGTTGTAGATAAAGCATGTCATACCATATAGATGAGGTTGATGGAGAAATGTGTAGGTGGTGTAGATAATGTAGGTGAGACAGGTGTAGGTGATGATGATGATGATGATGATGATGTTGGTGGTGTAGATGTAGATGTAGATCATCTAGAGAAGATGGTGTAGAGGATGGTATAGAAGATGTAAAGGACATAAGAGATGTGGATGATGTATGTTAGGTAGATGAAGTGAAGAGTGAGGCGGACAGCGGTTCGTTGGGAAGAAAACCCTTCGCACGAGCTTCGGGCATATTGGCCACTGTATTGCAAACGCTTTTGGAAAAGCGTTTTTTCATAAAGTGTTTGTGCTGTGATTGGACCTTGCACGCCCGACCTCTAGGGTAAAAAGGGCGGGGCAATAAACATACTTCACTCATTGCGTGTTTGGCAACTGTTTTTGTTTCTCGCTGTTGGGGATACTCTTTGTGCTTATTTCTGTTTTCTCTCTTCTCCGACTCTTCCCGCAACTGTTTCTGCATGTGTCCATGAGTCGGAAGTTTGACTTCTAAAAACTTCCTTTTCAATAATTCGCGACGTGCTGTCACAGCGTGTTTTCTCCAAGCAGGATATTTCGGACGCAGGAGTATTCCCCCTAATTCAAAGAAAGAACATGTCGCTGCAGGCGGCGATATTTCTGAAATCCATAGATCCGCAATCTTGCTCGCGACGGGCAAGGAGCGCCTGCCTGTTTTTCATGGCCCGGGCTTCTTCCCACTGTACATCGTCACCGCAGACCACGAGGCACAGGCCCTCTTCGAGGAGAGGGCCAACAGCTTGTGGTATGCATTGGAGCGGTTTCAGGACTTGCCATTTACAGACTTTGCAGCGGACATAGTTGTACTTGATGTGGGCTCGTTTCCGAAACACTTGCTGGGAGGTGTCGTCACCGAAGCCGCGCGAATTTTGGCACAGCAAGGCGTTTTGTTTGTTTTGGGCGCGACGGAGTTTGACATCTCGCAGTTCAGCCCGCAGGCTGGAAAACTTGTTGTGGCCGGTTCCTACGCCCACTCCTTTGTGCGAAGGCTGGGCGTGGTCCCAGGCTTACCCATTTGCAAAGCATGCGGGATGAGATCTATGTTCGGCGAGCGTTCCATTGAACTACCCCTAAAACCCAATGCCAGGCATGGGTACAACCAGGCTTCAAGTCCATTTTCGGTCCCGAAATCGCGAGCAGATTCTCTTCCAATACGAAGACCAGCGTTGAAAACCAACGCTTGAAATATTGGTATCGGCCAAATGTCATGAGAACTCAGCAGGTACTCGGAGAAGGTGAATGGGTTGACCGGTATTCCAAACCGGGCGGCGGCTCCAAGAAGTCCTATGAAAAAGCCTACGTGAATCCGGATCCTTTCAAGTTGCCCCCGCGCCTGGAGCTTCTGGTGAGAGCTGGAAAGATCAAACGCATTTTGGACGCTGGAGCGGGATCATGTTCATTGGAGGGTGAGCTCCGTCGCAAGGGGTATTCAGTTCATAACTTTTTGGCTTTTGGCGCCTATGATTGCTCCATGCTCCGCATTTGTGCGGAGCGTGGCTCCATCTCCTTTCAACATAATTGGCTGATTCCTTTGCCAGTGTGTGCTGCCTGCAAGTTTGATTTGATTTATCAGTTTGCGGGTGTGCATCACATGCCGACTGTAGATGAGCACGGCAAGTTTATCAGTAAGATGTTGGCCCTCCTTGAGTGCAATGGAGTGCTCTTTGTCAATGATCGGACCGGGAGGAAGGTGTGGAGTGTCCTATTTCGCCAAGTTTTGGATCTTAAGCGGGAGCAGAAGCTTGCACGATATGTGGAGAGCAAGGATGGATATTTCGAAATTTCTCGAACTTGCTAGCTTTGCATGCAAAAAAGTGGCGGCCTCATGCTCCAGACTCTGGGCCCGAGATGATTTCAAAGGCCTCGTCCACCTCCCAACTGGCGCGACGTGAAACTCCAGCCGCAGCGGGAAAAAAGGTATAATATGCACCTAGTCTTTCCCACCAATTCCAGGTTTCCTATGGAACACCAAACGTCGTATTGTGCATTGGCGTATGCCGTTTCATCAATCGCAATGAGAAATTTGTTCATGGAGGTTGAGGTTGAAATTTCCCCAGCACAGCAGCCCCCGTCCTTGTAAGTAAATAAAACGAAGAAAAAAGGCATCGAAGTTCATCCAAGCCTTCCATTTTGCACACGCTCGCGCAAGCGAAGCTAGAACATGAGGGTGAAAAGCCACCTCCTAAGGTCGGACGGTTTTTCCCCACATCTTTGTGTGGGGTTCTTGTTTTTTATTCTGTATCCCGCCGCCTCCGCCTCCGCCTCCTCTGCCTCATCTTTCACCACCTTGTCAACCACCATCTTTCACACACATCTTTGTCAACCACCATCTTTCACACACAACTGTGTCAACCACCATCTTTCACACACATCTTTGTCAACCACCATCTTTCACACACATCTTTGTCAGCCACCATCTTTCACACACAACTTTGTCAACCACCATCTTTCACACGCAACTTTGTCAACCACCATCTTTCACACACGACTTTGTCAAACACCATCTTTCACAGACAACTTTGTCAACCACCATCTTTCACACACATCTTTGTCAACCACCATCTTTCACACACAACTTTGTCAACCACCATCTTTCAGACAGCCGCGGCACTTTGCGTGGCAGGCGTGGCGCTTGGTGACATCTATCTTCGTTTCACGTGGCGCTTGGCTGGCTCTGGTGGCGCGCTTGGGCTGGGATTGGTCGCCTGTGACGCCGCGGCACTTTGCGTGGCAGGCGTGGCGCTTGGTGACATCTCTACGTTTCACGTGGCAGGCGTGGCATTTGGTGACATCCACCTCCGTTTCACGTGGCAGGCGTGGCACTTTGGAGACATCTACCTTCTTTTTGCCTGGCAGGCGTGGCACTCAAACTGGGCTGGCTCAGGTGGCGCGCTTGGGCTGGGATTGGTCGCCGGTGACGCCGCGGCACTTTGCATGGCAGGCGTGGCGCTTGGAGACATCTACCTTCCCTGAGCATCGGTTATTGATCCTATTCAATTAGATGTTGACCTTATTGAATCCAGCTTTTTTTCAATATATTTAATTGAAGTTATTGAAATTTGCATCAATTAGAAAACCCATGGTTTCTCACTTCAAAATTCAATAGAGATGTGATGGTTTAGAAAGGCAACAAATCAATTAGAAAATCAATTAGAAATTCAATTGGGAAATCAATTAGGTGACCATTGAGACCATGCACCACCACCCCCAGAAGCAACATTTTTACTGACTGCATGCTGCATGTGTCTTTGGGTGAAAATTTGTGGCTTATCCTTTAGCCAAGGATTCATGAAAGCAACTTTGTGCAAGCAGCCATTGCAAGCCAGAATCGACGATCAGAACAATGATTGATCTGATCACCCCCTGGCTAGCAAGGGTTGCATGCTTTGATGAGTTGAAAAAATCTTGATCAAGAGCAGCAGTCTGGAACCCTTTCATCAAGGGTTGCATGCTTCAGCTTTTCTCAGGCTGTGTGGTGGCATTCTAAGAGTCATCCTGACAGCTGACAAGCCCAAACCCCAGCCTCACCAGCTGCAAGTGCAAAAGGATTCGATATTTGGCACTGATCTTTTGGCTCATCCTGGTGCTTTTGACACCCATTGCCACACTGGCCCCTAATCGACTTATTTTCCCAACAAAGTCTTCTGCTCTAAAGTTCCAGCAATTCTTAGGGTTCAAGAATTGGCTGTCCCTCACCATGTGGTGTAGTGTATGGTGCTTCATCACAAGATGAAACAGAAGTCTGTCATTTTCCTGAAACCAGATACTCAAGCTATCATAGTGGGAGAAGAACCTTTTCTCAAGGTTTCTGGCTTGCATGTATTCTTTGCTGCTGGGAAAAATACCAATTCTGTCAAAGAGCTGAGTCAGATCCACCATGCATTGCAAGGCTGACACCATGTCCTTGTGCTGCTCCTGCTTCCTATCCAGCATATTTTTGATAACTGGCCATAGGGCCACACAGAGGTGTTTCATCTCAGCACCTTTGCAGTCAAGCTTTGCAAACTGCGTGTGTGGCTTTGCAACATCGCAGATCATGGACAATTTTAGGTTTGTCAGTCTTGTTGGTGCAGATAACCTTTTGTAGACTTCTTGGATTTCTTCAAAAATGAATGCTAATCTTTCTGATGGCTTGACAGATTGGACCCCTTTGCCATCAAAGAAGGCCATGTAATGCAATATTGATCCAATTAGGTGTGCACATACACCTCTGACAAACAGGACATGAAGTCCATCATGCCTCACCATCCTAGTAGTCAGCCCTGGCACTGAGAACAAAGGATGCTTGGCTTTGCCTTTTAGCAAGGCTGCTTTGGTGTCCACATATATGAACCTTTGTTTTTCTTCTTTTACAATTTTGAAGCTTATTCCCTTTTCACAAGGGGTACCTTTACTGAATGGCTGCTTGCAGTCGCAGTCCCAACATGGGCTGGCTGCATTCCAGTGTGGGAGGTGGATGGCGCTTGAATACTTTTCATGGTCCCCCTGCACTGCCCATACCACTGCCCTGTAATTTCCAGGGGTGAGAGGTAACCCTTTCAGGGCATGAAAGGGTGACCCTTTCAACGAGGGTTCATTCTTTGGCCCCACCTCAGGGTGATAGCCTTTCAACAAGGCTTCCAGGCTCCATGTGACCCATTCCAGTATTGGACCCCATGTGTCTTCAGTGGTGCATGCCTTGGGTATGGCTGATACCAAGAAATGGGCAGCAAGGGAATGATATTGACACAGGAACCCACCCCAATTCCAAACTTGTAGAGAATCTCTGCTCTGGAGCTCAACACCATCACAATGGATGAAGAGAGGAATTGTTTTTTGTTTTTCCTGGACACAGTTAGTGTATGTCCCATGCCTTTCATCAAGGCATATTGGATGCTGGTACAGCCTGTCACCTTTCACCTTTTCAACACCTTTCCAAAAAGATTGGAGGTCCTGGGTCCCAAACAGGTTATGGAATTGATCTGGGTAATGGTGTGCCAGATCACTGAAAAGGATGTGTGGCAGAAAGATGCTGGCATCCTCTACCAAAACCTTGGAGGACTTTGGTTCCAGCACTGGCACCTGCACATGGATTGCAGGGGTGAGCTTGATGTCCTGGCAGTAATGGGTCATGACATCTCGATGCACATTCCCAGGGATTTCTCCCCAATGGCCAGTAGATGCTATTTGGGCAAGTGCAGGGTGGGTGGCTCCATCTAGGGTTGCCATGTGTGCAATTTCTTGCATGGCTTTGGATGAGATGTGCCCATGGCTCCACATGGTGAGCAGTAATGTGCCTAAAGCACTTGGCACCTCCTGCTCCCCTTTCAACAAGGGCTCACTGCCACCTGCCTCCTTTGCCATCTCAAGCTTCCAGCCTCTGATCCTTTTTGCTTTTGGCTCCATGGATGCCACTCTTTCAACAAGAGTTAGAAGCCTGCCCTTTCAGCAAGGGTGGTGGCACAGCTTTGCAGATGCTTAGCCAAAAAAAGCTGCAGGCAATGGACACATGCATGCATACATGTTTTTCTGCAACCCAAAGCTGCCTACTTCGTGAATACACATTTATATGCATAGATGCTAAAGCAAAATTACAGTAGGTGGAAAGCTCACACACACACATTTACTGAAAACAACAATTAAAAGAACAACCCCACAAAGAAAAAACATTACCCCCCTCCAGCTCAGCACATTTTTGCTGCACCAGAGACCCTGGCAGGGTTTCAAGCTACAAAAGCTGCAGCACATCCTTTGAGCAAGGACAGGCAACATCCTTTCAACAAGGATAGCCATTTCCAAAGCCACATTTCTATGCCAAAATGCTGCCACCCTTTTAGCAAGGGCTGAAGGCTTCACATGCTTGCACTATCCTTATCCTTTTCAGCAGAGCATCATTGTAGGAACTTCCTTTAAGCAAGGATTGCAGCAAAACCCACCTTTGAACAAGGGGTGTCAAAAAACCCTTTGAGCAAGGGTTGCGGGCTGGATTGCAACACATTCACTTCTTGGTTGATGCCTTGGAACCAGCTTTGTTTGCAAGGCCAATACATTCTTTGATTTCATCCTTGAGCTCCTTTGTTTTGTTGGCAGCCCCTACCATGATATCTTTTGCTGCCTGCAAGCTATACTGATTTCCCTTGAGCTCGAGAAGTTTCTTCAGCTGTTTTGCTTGCTGCTGCACATTCTTCATCAGATCTTCATAGTCCTTGCGAGCAGCCTTGGTAAGCCTTCCAGCTTGGTGGCAGTTGGAAGTTGCCTCTTCCATGTTGGAGATGGCCAGGATGCAGCTTTCCTTGGTCTTTTGTGATTTTACCAAGCACTTGTTCCACTCTGTTTTCTCATCATCTTTGTTGTCCTCCTTTTCTTTGTCTTTCACATCTCGTTTGGTGATAGCCAGGAGGGCTTTATTTCCTTTGCTTCCTTTGCCTCCTCTGCCTCCTTTGCTACCAGAGGCTCTTTGCCCTTTGCCAGATGCCTCAGCATCATGCAGCATGTGGTGCCATCCTTTTCCCCATTCTTTCATGAAGTGATCTTCATGATCAGCAGTGGCTGCACCTTCCACACCCATGGAGTGCTGCGTCTTCCTGGTCACCTCAGTGCTGCCAGTGATGTCTCCCAAGTCTTTGTATTGGTACACATCAGGTGTGTAAGGATCAGCCCTCCACTGGACCCTTCCACTTTGGATGTGGAGCTGGAGCTCATCATGACCAAATTGATCAAGCATTCGCTTTTCTGCCTTAAAAGTGTCACCTTTAATCCAGGCGTGCTTGGATCCAAAGGTTGCAGTGCTGTTGAAAAACTTCTTGCTCTGGTTTTCAACAAACCAAAGCAGAGAAGCCAACCCCTTCTGGGTCTTGTTGAGGGCATCATGCTCTTCCAGTGCTTCCTTGTTACCTTTCATATAGCAGTTTGATGCTTGGACCAAATCTG